GGATGAGCCATCCTTTGTGCTCGTGACTGAGCCCCAGATGAACTCCCCAGCGCGCACGATGAACGAACTTGCCGATTGTTGCTGAGGTCGGCCGGTATTGCACCATGCACCCCCAAACTCGCAGCATGAAGGGGTCTCCCCTTGAGCCGGTCCACTTCATGTGAGGTGACAGGTTATCCCTGTTGGCGGTGGTGGAGAGGAGGTTGTGCAGGCGCACCGCGTGATTCATGGCGTACGGCCAAAATTTCTTTGGCAGGCCGGACTGGTTCATGATGGCGCGGACTTTAGTCATGAGGGTCCGATTGACCCGCTCCGCGACACCTTGCTGCTGGTGAGCGTATGGGAGCGAAATCTCATCCTTGATCCCCTTCTCGGTGAGGACGCTCTCCAGTTCGTTGCTGCGAAATTCCTTTGCCCCATCACTCTGCCAGATTTTCAGCTTCCTCCCCGACTGTCGCTGCGCGTGCGCGAGGAAGATGCGGAATACTTCTGGAGCCTTGGAGCGCGCGTCGACGTTGGCGACCCACACGTGGCGTGAGTAGGCGTCGATGAAGGTCAGCGTGTACTTTTCGCCGTTGAGTCTGTCGCAGGTGAGCACGATGAAATCGCTGTACACTTTTCCCAGCTTGCACCAGGTGCGGAGCCCCAGGTTGCACCGCCTTCTGGATCAGCGGGCTCGTTGCCCCATCCTCCGTGCGCAGAATCTGGTCCCAACCTGCCGCGATGCGCTCCTCATACAGCTTCTGCCGCTTCTCCGCTTGGGCCTTCTCCTGTTCTTCTTTGACGCTCAGCTCCTCTGGTGCGTCAGGATCTTTCCAGGCAGGGTCAATCTCGCGGCGGTAGACTTCGCGAGTGTACGGGCGCGGACGTTCTTCTTCGTCGAGGGTGCGCGCGTTGGCTTCGAGGACGAATCGTAGGGTGTCCGAGTAAGGCCTTGGTCTCTCCTGCTGCTCCTGGCCGAATTTCAAGTTCGGCTCACCGAATATGCGGTGTGATGATACGGCGAGTTCTTCTTCAGTCATGCCTGTTGGTTCTGCCTCAGCGCTTTCTGCTTCCTGAATTGCCGCTTGCTCCCTTTCCACTTGCTCCGTGCGACTTGCAGTGGGTGTGTGTCAGGTGGTGCACAGTCCGTGGGCGTCAGGTTCGTGAAGATTGATTTCACGCGGATGAGGGCTGCGGCGAATCCACGGTCTTCCATCCGGATGCTCCCAAGACTCCTGGTTCATGAAGGCGAACTCGAGGGGGACAAGATCCACGAGCTCGTCCGACGAGGCTTGACAGGGAGGTATGTCAAAGTCCAGGATGTAGATCCCATTGATGGAGCGAGCTCGTCCGAGGTACTTGAATGCCTCAGGAGGAGTGTCTGGGGGAGCGTAGGTGAGGATGAGATCGCGCGTCGCGAGGTCCGTGTGAATGATGACGCCGCAATCGCGGAGCTGTCCAGCCGAGAGCAGGTTGAAGCGGAGGTTCGGGACGTAGAGTACGTCGTTGAACGAGATGTGCGTGTTGCTATCTCGTGCTTGCAGGACGACAAGGCCTTGTGAGTTGGCGCGCAACTGCTCGTTGTTGGCGACGGTGACGTAAGTTGCGGGGGCGCAACTCAGGTTAGAGACATAGCACGTGGACCCCACCATGTGCTGTCCGCAGCAGCTGTCCAGGTACCATGTGTTGTGGTTGTCGGTGTTGTTTCGGCGCAGCAGCAGCGCCAATCGCGGAGTCACCAGGGTGGCTTTGAAACGCCTGTAGAAGTAAGGATCTTCGTCCTCCTTCCAGCCCACTGGTACGTAGTGCTGATTGTAGTGTGGCGGGCTTTCCCGCAGCGTGATTGGTTGATTCCAATCCTGCTCGTCTTCGTTGTGCAGGTAGTAGTGGTCCTCGGTGAGGGGATTATTCCATCCCTCTTCCGGTTGTAGAAGTCTTCCTTGGACTTCGTTCTCCTCGTCAGGTTCAGCGGTGCGCCGGCGTCGTGTCGCCATGTTTGCGATGACGTTCCTGGGAGCTCCTGACGGTGGTCCTTGATTTTGTTGGTGTTGATGCTGTGCAGGATGACGAGCTTGCTGATGCTGAGGTTGAGAATGACGAGCGTCTTGTCGGCCGACCCAGTTGTTGTGGTGAGTGGAATTTGGGTGGCGGTAGTTGGATCGGGATTTGCATCGATCCGTTGAGTGTCCGAAGACTTTGCATATTTTGCAATAATGGCGCCTTGGTTGTCGTCGCTCTTCTCGGTTGTCCGTGTAGAAGGCGAGGCGCTCTCGGCGCGGCGCGGAGCTTGTTCTGCTCGAGTCCATGTCCTGCTGTTCGGACAGGAGTGCGGCGCATAGCGCGGCTTCTGAAATGATTCCTCGCTGTCGGAGTAACGCTTTGCAGGGCTTCCACTCTGGCCCGAGTCCTTGAAGGACTATGTTGACGAAGATCTCCTCTGAGATCGTACTCCCATGCTTCGTGATCTGGTCACGGATGTTGCGACAGCGGTTAATGTAAGGATTTGCCTTCTCCCCGTGCCCCATTTTTATCTCCAGGAGTTGCTGCAGCAGTCTCCTGGCGGTGACCGAGTCCTTCGGTTGATAAACCTCAATGAGGTGCTTCCAAGCTTCCAAGGCTAGAGCGACGCTCTCCTTGTAGGAGCGAATGTTGAGTTGTTCCGCAGGCGTCATGTTGCGTAGCAGCACACTGTAGGCCATGAGAGACTCGCTGTAATACTGAGCCCTGGCGACGTCGGTGTCTTCCACCGGTTTAGGATAGGAGCCGTCGAAGTAATGGTAGATCTGCGCCGTTTGTAGGAGGAGCTCCAGCTCAAAACTCCATGTGTAAAAATCCTTGCCGTCAAACGCGGCAGTAGTCTTAATCTTTGAAACGCTGAGGAAGCGTGTTTGCGCAGAGTTGATAGCCTCATCACTTGGACGGGGGGCAGTTGTTGTTGATTTGTCAGTGTCGAGGGAGAAGGTGTGCGCGGCGGTATCACGGCTTTTCTCAGCCGGTTGTCCAGGTTGTGCTGGTTGGGAAGAGGTTCCCGCATCGCCTTTGCGCAGTTCTTGGAGTTCTTTCTCCATAGTTGAAAGTCGAGCGAAGAGTTGCTCGAGGGCGGCAGTGCCGATCGTGGTTGTCGCCTCATTTGTCGCAGCCGGGTTGGTTTGTCCTTCGGCCGTTGGATTTGACTGACCTCCGGATCCTCCGGCCATCTTGGTCTTGGAGCGTGTGCCGCTCGCCAGATCTTGGTTCGGCGAATTTCACGGAAGTAAAGTTGCGAAGAATCCCTGAGTAGCTCTCATACCATGTTACAATCCCAAGAGGGACTTAGCGAAGGATCGCCCAGGGTTGATCGCAGAGTAGTGTTGCAGCGGAAGTTTGAATCTCAGGTCAGAGTGAATGTAAAATGACTGAGTTGATAATAGCATGCATACATCGAGTTTATATAAGAATACAGGGGAATACGAAAGGACCTAGACTAGCCATGTACTCTAAGGGGTACATTCCCTTATTACAACCGAATTCAAACCGTGCGGCGCGGGAACCCGTTTCAAACCTGTTCCCGCTCTTTTTACTTCAAATGTTTCTGCCTGCATCGGTCTTGGTCGGACGGTTGCTGCGTCGCTTCGACTCTTCTGACTCCTCGACTTCGTACTCGGTAGAGTCGGCTCCTGCAGCATACAGGAATGCCTTCTCATAAAACTTCATATCGTAACAGAACGGAAGTGACTACACACACACACACGCACACACACACACACACACGCACACACACACACGCACGCACGCACGCACGCACGCACGCACGCACGCACGCGCGCGCGCACGCGCGCACGCGCGCGCGCGCGCGCACACACACACACACACACACACACACACACACACACACACACACACACACACACACACACACACACACACACACACACACACACACACACACACACACACACACACACACACACACACACACACACACACACACACACACACACACACACACACACACACACACACACACACACACACACACACACACACACACACACACACACACACACACACACACACACACACACACACACACACACACACACACACACACACACACACACACACACACACACACACACACACACACACACACACACACACACACACACACACACACACACACACACACACACACACACACACACACACACTCACTCACTCACTCAGATCAGGGGCCTCCACATAGCAACATCAGTTGCATTACAAGTGTGAGTGCTAGGGTTGCTCATACTGTAAATAAGAATAAAGTGGTTGCTGGGCTGGTTGAAGAGTTTTGCTACAACCATTTCTGTATTGACTGCCAAACCACACCATGTGGTTTTTGAGTCAGTCCCGTCTTTTCTGCTCGCGACGCCTTGTGCAATAACGAGTTTCCTCACGGAATCCTCTCGTGGTGGAATTGGGGTTGAATGTTGGCGGGAAACTACTTTCGCTGCACGAGGAACTGCTCCGAAGCCTCGCTTTGGCTTTCCCCAAACAACGTTTTTCTGCCCGCGTGAATCTCCAAACGCAGTTCTCAGGCATCGAGCGGCCATGACAAAAGCTCCAACCGTCAGACAGATTTCAGTATGCTGCCCGCAGTGAGTCAGTAGACGACACGGACCAGTGGCGCAAAAGTTGCAATGTTACCTCCACATACCAGACCCAGACCACAGCTTGCTGCTGCTGACTGCAGCAAAGCAGAGGCAGAAGGCGCACGCGGAAATTGGGCTGCAGGAATGAAATGGCTGCATTGTGAAGCCATTGACTCTGGAAGCGTTTCAAATTGAGCGGATAAAGACACAATTCATAGCTCGTGGCTGTAAAAGCCATCCACAGCGTTAGTCCTTCTTGATAAATTTCCATCACGTCCACTTTGATTCCTGGGTTAGTTGGGCATTTCATAGTTCTGTTCAGCAAGCAGAGCTAGGAAGGTAGTCTTTACTTGCGCCGATTCACTAGCCTTCAATAGGATATACGCACCGTTTTTAGTTTCCGCCATGGCGACGAAAGTTTACGTAATGTAAGTATTGAATGGCGTTTCAGTTCCACGTCATCCATCGCCATCGTCACCGCAATTACTCTGGCACCATCTACAATTCCTAGACTTCCAGGATGTAGCACCCGTTTCCCTTGCACCGCCACTCGCTCTATCAATTCAAGATTCACCGGAGCTAAGACATAATAACTCTGCCTCTTCTTCCCTGCAGTTTCTATTCCATGTACGGCCACGTGGCCGCATTAGCCGAGGAGATCAAGAAGGGTGCAGAATCCGTGGAAGGGGTCGAAGTCTCCATTTTTCAGGTCAGCTTGCGAATTTAATTGCAATCCATCTTGTCACAGGTCTCAAGAAGTGCAGATACTTAGTTCAACTAGCGGAAGCAGAACAAAGACGGGTGTCTTAACTTGCTGGCGAAATTATCAAGGGGTAGCAGAATAGAAGCTTGTACCATGGTTTCTTCGCGTGGTTTGTTCTATGGTCGGCCTTTTCGTTGAACGCTTCTGCATCTGACTCTCCGTAGCAACGTCCGAACTCGTTCTTCCTTCCGTCTTGTGACGGAGGAACGGTGGTCGATGTGGCATACTTTCACAATTTCAGCGACAGGGAACCATTCGGATACATAGGCTGTTTTTGCTGACAATGAATCGCAATCCCATCTTGCAATGTGTTTCTGCGAACTCTCAAACATACACATGATTTCTTCACCTGACGTTCCAATGTGCTCCATCTACAGGTTCCCGAGACTCTATCCGAGGATGTCCTCGCAAAGATGCACGCTCCGCCGAAGCCGGACATTCCTTCTATCGACGTGCACAACCTCCCGGAAGCGGACTGCTTCCTCTTCGGCTTCCCCACCCGCTACGGCATGATGTCCGCTCAAATGAAGGCCTTTTTCGACGCGACCGGCAGCTTGTGGAGAACGCAAGCGCTGGCTGGCAAGCCTGCCGGTTTCTTCTTCAGCACGGGCTCGCAAGGAGGCGGCCAGGAAACCACTGCGTGAGTCCGAAATTGCACCTGACATGTCTTCCATTCTGTGATTATGGGTGACCTGACGCTGCAAAAATCTCTGGCACAACGCCTCGTGCTGCTGTACTGTACTGTCTGCGGCCACGGACCCCTCTCTTCATACCCTTCTTTACCCTCCCCCCTTTCTTCCAACACGGAGAAAGAATACGTCAGTGGCATTGGAATTCTTTGTACATGCAGTGCATCCCATGTGTAGCGTCTATCGTTGGGACTCGGATGGCAATTTTCTCAGTGCAACACAAGAATATTGATTTGTTCCCTCCGACCCTGTCCCTTCACGTTCCCTCACAGGCTGACTGCCGTAACGCAGCTGACGCATCACGGTATGCTCTTCGTTCCCATTGGCTACACCTATGGCGCCAACATGTTTGTTCTGGATGAGGTGAAGGGAGGTTCGCCCTATGGAGCAGGCACTCTGGCCGGGGATGGTACTCGCCAGCCCACACAGATTGAGCTGGAGCAAGCGTTTTATCAAGGCCAGTACACAGCTAAGATTGCTAAGAAGCTGAAGAAGGGTTCTGAATAAAATAGTGCAAGCCTAGCTCTCTTGTTTTCTTAGTATGTGTGTATGCTGCTTTTTCCCCTGTAGATGCGCCAGAGGTATACGTCCTCCGCCCGTATAATCAGCCTTTATGTGCTCAATTTGATCATCTCACAGTAGACTAACATTCTTATTCTGCTCAATGACAAGAATTGTTACAGTATCTGAACTTCAAGGAGCGTCATATGTGCTTGGTCAACCTCCAACCCACTTGCTGACCGTTTCCCTGTCTCCAGTTTCCCGCCAATATTCTGGTCAGAGGGGACAGGGGAACAGACCTCGTCAAATTGAAATTTCGACTGGAAGGTGACATCAGCCAAGTGGTTCAGATCGCACGCGAAAGTATCACTTGGCGGAACGACGATTTTCTGCAGCAAATGTGATTGGCGAAGGCGATTTTTTGCTCAAAATCACCCGCCAAGAAAGCCTCGAGAATGCCGTGGGTCTGGGGTTCAAATCAAATGCAGGGACCTTGGGGGTGCTGGCTGTCCGCCGTTCCGCCCTTCTCAATTCGCACACTTCCCGCGCGCATGCCATTTTCCCCCATCTTCTGTCTGAGCGACTGTAGCGACGACTTGCGAAGTCCATGCGACTGTCAGAGTCGAGTCTGCGACTCTGCGCATTCCTTGACCTTGGCTCCTCCTTTTCCGCTTTTCTCCACTCCTCCGCTTCTCCTCCCGCGGATAGGTTGGTTAGCTGTTCGCCTGGGCTGAATTGTACCGCATTACCGCTTGCAAAAAATGCACACCGAGAAGAACCGTGGTAAATGTACATAAATTGACAACGAACGCACTTGACGGCTCTGGGATTCAACCTTCCACTGACCAGAGGTGTATGTCAGAAGCAGCGGGAGTCCAATGCGGCTTATGTTCTCTAATCGCCACTAGTCGATCCTAGGCCTCTGCGCGTTAGTTCGAGCCAGCCGCCTCGTTGGCTCTCGCCGTCAAGACTGTTACGTCAAGCGCACTCCTTCGTGTGTCGTGTTTGTTTCCCTTCAGATCAGGATCAGAGGAAAAAGGAACCCTTGCGACGATATTTGATACCTGAAGCGACGAGATTTGCCACCCATTCGCTCTTTCGCTCTAATTTTAGGCTCTGCTCGAGCCTTTCGAGTAATCAACTTATTATTATCATCCGCCTGCTCCTACTCCATTCGTGGTTGTGGTGGCCACTCGTTATTGTGATCGGATCATCCTTGAATTCAGTGGTCTTTTCGCGTCATCCTTAAATACTGATTGGTCTCTTGCTTAGAGTTTTAGCTGAGTGCACTAGCAGAGCGATTTGAAGATCTTCCCATCTCGGGACACGATTCCAGTTTGGTCGAGAGTTAGCCTGGAAGACAAGTCCAACTGAACGGAGATACTTCTGAGTCGACTCAAAAGTCACCTCGAGAGTTAGCCCGGAAGACAAGTCCAACTGAACGGAGATACCAGCGAAAAAGGCCTTTAGTCGGGTAGTCGATTTCTTCGGACACAGCTAATTCGAGCTTGGAACGATGTGGGGAGCGGCAGGCCGAACGAATGCGCAGAAGATTCAGGTGCGGTCAAACAGACTGTTTGTTGTTTTTTTAGGCACCTTAAAAACAGGCTCGGAACGATGTGGGTAGCGGTCGTACGAATGCGCAGAAGATTCAGGTGCGATCAGACAGACTGTTCGTTGTCGCGTTTCTCGGGAGGTGACTTGCGAGTCGGCTCAAACGTCTGCGCGAATGCGCCGACGATTCCGTTGAATGCGGATCGTCCTTGAGAGCGCATCGCTGCACGCATAAACTCGCCTCCAGAATGGATACTGAAGCTTAAGCGTCGGGGATATGTTGCTGGATTTCAATCACGCTTGAATCCGTTTGTGCCCGCAGCCTTGGATCTTTGCCAGCACCCAGAGGGTAGGTGCGTTTGAGTCGACTCAAAAGCTTTGCCAGCATCCAGAGGAAAGGTGTTTCGTCAGGAATCGACGACTGCGTAGGTCTCTGCTTGATACATGGATAGAACGTCCATGGATCGCTAGTCATTAGAAGCACCGCTCTGTCCCCTCTTTTCCCCCACCCTCCCCTCCTCACATTTCCTTATCCTTCGCGTTCTCGCCCTCGGCCTCCTTCCGTGCACATTCCACCGCACCCTCCCCTTCCCCCTACCCCCGCCAGACCATATTCAACAAGTTTGTGGGCGGCTCGGCGCGCAGCGATGGAGTTGTGGTGGACGAGGCGGAGCGTGCTGCGTGCTTGTTATCCAGCCCCCCCCTCTCCTCTCCCCCTGGCTCCCCCGCTTCCCCTCCCCTTCCCCCCTTCCCCCCCTCCCCCCCTCCCCCTCCCCCCCCTCCTGGCCTCCTCGCTTCCCCTCCCCCCTTTCCTCTCCCCGCCGCCAGACCATATTCAACAAGTTCGTGGGCGGCTCGGCGCGCAGCGATGGCGTGGTGGTGGACGAGGCGGAGCTGCAGCGGCACCAACAGCTGGAGCGACTTTACAACACGACAAAGTCAGCTAAGGTACGGATGGGGAAAGGGACATCTTCTACGTATGAGGAGGGAAAAGGACATTTGAGTTGACTCATGAGCTGCAGCGGCAGCAGCAGCTGGAGAGGCTGTACAACACGACCAAGTCCGCCAAGGTACGAAGGGGGTGGGCGTGTGGTTTACTGTAAGTAACAGTTGGTCGGGGTGACCTGCAAGCGGCACCAGCAGCTGGAGAGGCTGTACAACACGACCAAGTCCGCTAAGGTGGTGGGAGTGATAGTAACGGTGCCAAGGGGTAGTAAGGAAGGGATGCGACATGAGGAGGGAAAGGGAGTGGTGGTGGACGAGGCGGAGCTGCAGCGGCACCAGCGGCTGCAGCGCCTGCTTGTTTGCAAACCCCTTCAGCTGGGGGACTTGGCGCGCAGCCGGGGCGTTGTGGTAGCAGCAGCAGCGATGGAGTGGTGGTGGACGGGGCGGAGCTGCAGCGGCACCAGCGGCTTTCCTCAGATTAGGGCATCACCAAAGCTGGCTAGGGGTTTCCCTCCCTTTTGCCGCCCATGGGAAAAAGGGGCAAGAAAAGGGTCCCCCCTGTTTCTTGCTTCCCCACGCTCTCTCCCTCTCTCCCTCTGTCGCCTGTGTGCTCCCCCCCTCCGCCTCCGCTCTGTCTCCGTCCACCACAGCCCCGCCTCCGCCTGTGTCCGCCTGTGTCCGCCTGTATCCACCTGTGTCCACCTGTGTCCGCCTGTGTCCACCACAGCTCTTTCAGTGCGAGATGGTGAAGGGCATTATCAATGCGAACCTGAAGGGCCCACTCACTCAGTACCGCCCTCTTCCTCCCGTGGCCTTGTTGTCTTATGCCACCCGGCCGTGTCCCCTGTATCGCATGCTCACTGTCTCCCCTTGTTCCCCAGTCGCCCTCCTCCCGATTGAAGAAGGGTTTTGAGACGTCTCAAAACTCTTCCTCCCGTGGCCTTCTTGCCTTATGCCACCCGGCCGTGTCCCCTGTATCGCATGCTCACTGCAGCACTTTCAGCGCGAGACGGTGAAGGGCATCATCAATGCGAGATGGGGAAGGGTATCGAGGACATGAGCATTGCGACTCTGATGGCCCCAGTCCTATGCTCCCCCTTCCACCCTGAAAGTTCCCCACTTGTTCCCCAGTCGTCTTCCCCCCACCACAGCACTTTCAGCGCGAGATGGTGAAGGGCATTGAAGGCATCATCAACGCGAGTCTGAAAGACCCTGCTCCTGTCACCCCCCTTCGCCCCACTGTTCCCGCCCACTTGTTCCCCAGTCGTCTTCCTCCCACCACAGCACTTTCAGTGCGAGATGGTGAAGGGCATTGAAGGCATCATCAACGCGAATCTGAACGCCCCACTGCTCTCTCTCCCCTTACCCCTTTTTTCGTTCTCTTCTCCTGTATGTGACCTGCCCTTGTCAATGCCGTGCCCTTTATGGCATGCTCATCACAGCACTTCCAACGTGAAATGGTGAAGGGCATCGAGGGCATCATCAACGCGAATCTGAAGCACATTGAATCCAGTAAGTCGGGCACATGGGCATGTGAATCACCGCTCTGAACCTACCCGAGTGTGAATCACCGCTCAAAATTCATGGGTGTGTATGGTTGTGGGCGTGTGTGTGAGAAGGCTTTTGAGGCGCCTCAAAAGTCATGGGTGTAGGTATGGTTGTGGGCGTGTGCGAAGGCATCTCAGGCATGGGCATGGAGATAGTGCATCTCAGGCTCCCGTTTTCCTATACAAGCTGATTCGCATGTATTGGTTATTGTCTTGTTAAGCGCTTTTCTCCTTTCGGGGCAAGCTATCAGAAGAATGGCGTAGGTACGGCCTGATTGACTCGTGTCGTCTATATCCGTTATCCCCCCCCTCCCCTTCGCTTCTGTTACAACCCTCCTTTCAATCGCCCAGCTGTCAGAGGAATGCCGCAATAATGGCATATCAGTAGACTCGTTATTCTTCCACCCGTGTCTGTTATACCCCCCCCCCCTTCAGTTGCGAAACTGTCAGAGTAATGCCGCAAGTACGGCGCACCGGAGAGCCCCGGCAGGAGCACAGTGCTTGTCAATGTAGTCTCATCTCATCCATACCCGTTACTCTTCCACCCGTTCTGATTACACTCCCCCTTCAGTTGCGAAACACTGTCAGAGGAATGCCGCAGAGCATAGACTCATACATACCCGTTATTCATCAACCCGTTTCTGCTACAACTCCCCTCCCCCTCTTTCCCCTTCAGTCGCCAAGCTATCAGAAGAATGTCGCAAGTACGGCACAAAGTATTGACTTGTCCATACCTTCTATTATATTAACCCGTTTCTGCTTACAATTTCCCCCCTCCCCATTCAGTCGCCAAGCTGTCAGAAGAGTGCCGCAAATACGGCGCACCGGAGAGCCCGGGCGGCAGCACAGTGCTGGGCCGGGCGGCGCTGCATTTTGGGGCGGCACACTCGGCAATTGAGAAGGAGAGAGACAATATGGACAGGACGCTTGGAACACAGGTGCGACTGTAGTGAGGATGACTATAGCGAGAAACAGCTGTGCTGGGACTTAGGTAACTTCTGAGTCGACTCAAAAGTCACCTCGCTTGGAACACAGGTGCAACTGTCTGTAGTGGGGATGACTAGATTGCGAAATTGCTGTGCGTGGCGTGGACTTGCATTGCGCCTGCATCCACTGTTCCTCCTTTGATTGATTGGTATCACTAGACGCCCCTCTCAAGCCCCTGTCTGTCTCGGGCGCGCCTCTGGAGGATGCTCGGCTGGGCTGAGTTGAAGCTCACTGTGCCTATGTATGCCTGCATGTAATGTACTGTTCCACATGCACAGGTGCCCGCCCCTCTCAAGCCCCTGTCTGTCTCGGGCGCGCCTCTGGAGGATGCTCGGCTGGGCTGAGTTGAGCTGGTATTATTCTTCCTGTAACCCCTGTGCTTATACCCATTGTGCTTGTATGGATGGATGGATGGCAGGTGGGCGACCCTCTTAAAGCTATGGTCACGGGCGCGCCTCAGGAGGATGCTCGGTTGGGCTGGGATGAGCTTGTGTTCAATGTACTTGTAACCCCTGTGCTTATGCCCATTGTGATTGTATCGATGGTTGGTTCGCAGGTGGGCGACCCCCTTAAAGCCATGGTCACGGGCGCGCCTCTGGAGGATGCTCGCAGCCTCACCCACCGATACGACAAGCTGCGGCAGGAAGCCGAGGGGCTGGTGAGTGCAGGTTGGGTTTCCAGAGGGGCTGGAGGGTTCAAGTGGGGTGGTCAGAGGGGCAGACAGGCAGAACTGGCAGAGTGGGGCTGGTGGGTGCAGGCATGATGGGATGCTGGCAAGTTGTCAGCGGGGCCGAGTGGGATGCTCGCAGCCTCACCCATCAATTCGACAAGCTGAGGCAGGAGGAGGCGGAGGGGCTGGTGAGTGGGGCTTGGGTGACGTTTACAAGTCAATCAGAAGGCTCTGGATGGAAGTCTTATTGCTCGTGCCCCTCCCTCCCTCTCCTCGTTGAGTCGACTCAACGTTTCTTCCTTCTTCTCCTCCATCTCTCTCCTTCGCCACCACCAGGTAGTGAAATGAAAGTTCAGAAGCGCAACCAGTCCCCTACTCCTCTCCTTCGCCACCACCAGGTAGTGAAATGAAAGTTCAGAAGCGCAACCAGTCCCCTACTCCTCTCCTTCGCCACCACCAGGTAGTGAAATGAAAGTTCAGAAGCGCAACCAGTCCCCTACTCCTCTCCTTCGCCACCACCAGGTAGTGAAATGAAAGTTCAGAAGCGCAACCAGTCCCCTACTCCTCTCCTTCGCCACCACCAGGTAGTGAAATGAAAGTTCAGAAGCGCAACCAGTCCCCTACTCCTCTCCTTCGCCACCACCAGGTAGTGAAATGAAAGTTCAGAAGCGCAACCAGTCCCCTACTCCTCTCCTTCGCCACCACCAGGTAGTGAAATGAAAGTTCAGAAGCGCAACCAGTCCCCTACTCCTCTCCTTCGCCACCACCAGGTAGTGAAATGAAAGTTCAGAAGCGCAACCAGTCCCCTACTCCTCTCCTTCGCCACCACCAGGTAGTGAAATGAAAGTTCAGAAGCGCAACCAGTCCCCTACTCCTCTCCTTCGCCACCACCAGGTAGTGAAATGAAAGTTCAGAAGCGCAACCAGAAGGGATGGGACGGCTCATTGCTCATATCCCTCCCTCTCCCCCTCCTTGTGTCCTCCTCATCCTCCCACCGCTCTCTTCCCTATCAGGTGATGGAGATTCAGAAGCGCAACCAAAAGGCACGGGACGGCATCAGTGTGTTTTACACTCATACCTCCTCCCACTTTCTCGTCCCCTCACTCTCCTCCCACCTCTCTCTCCCATCAGGTGATGAAGATTCAGAAGCGCAACCAGACGGCACGGGACGGCCTTATTGGTCTGGATCGGCACTCCACTCGCACTCTGTACCTCCGCGCATCACTCTCCTCCCGCGTATGCTCCTCCCCCCGCCTCTCTCTTCCCCACCAGGTAGTGGAAATCCAGAAGCGCAACCAGAAGGCACGGGACGGGCTGAGCAACCCTGAGAACGCTGCTAAGCTGCAGGTGAGAAGGGAATGGTGGTGGTAACCCTGTTACGCCTGCATAGTATGCCATACAATGGCCACGCACGCCCTGTGCCTATGCTCACAAGGCACGGGACGGCCTGAGCAACCCTGAGAACGCTGCTAAGCTGCAGGTGAGGGGGGAATGGATGGTATGGGAGAAGTACGATGCTATTATGCGCAAGGGGACAACTCAGAATTTGGGAGGGCAACAACATGTTATCATCTGCGAGGGGGCAAGGGACGGGCAAGGGACGAGCTGAGCAACCCTGAGAATGCCGCCAAGCTGCAGTGCAGGCAAGGGGTGCATGGTGGTAACCCTATCATGGCCGCAGAGCAGAGCATGCCATACAATGCCATGCCCGTGCACGCACTGTGCCTGAGGCATGTCACATGTGAGCTCAGGCCGTCCCGCGCCATGTGAGTGAGCATAGGCACAGTGCGTGCACTGCAGGGGCATTGTATGCCGGTACATGCTCACATGGCTCGGGACGGCCTGAGCTCACATGCCTCAGGCATAGTGCGTGTGCGGGCATTGTATGCCCGTACATGCTCTCATGGCGCGGGACGGCCTGAGCAGGATGGGAGGTGGTAACCCTGTTACGCCTACATAGTATGACCATACAATGCCCGCGCACGCACTGTTGGGGAGGGAGGGGAGATGATCACGTATGATGGGAACATATAAGGTTCCGAGCAACCTGCACTGTTTGTCATATTGCTTTCTGTGCTCCCGCTTCCCCCCTTGTTCAATCTTTGAGGCGCCTCAAAAATAGCTGCTGGTGAGGGGGGATGGGAGGTGCGTGGTGAGGGGAGGGAGGGGGGATGATCACATATGATGGGAACATATAAGGTTCCGAGCAACCAGCGACCATGACAGTGCTGGGGAGAGAGGGGCAGTCAGCTGGACTCACTTCTCCTGTACTTTCATGTTCCCCCTTGTTCAACCAACAGCAAGCAGCAGACGATGGGCGAACTGGCAGCCACCATGACGGTGCTGGGGAGGGAGGCAGCGACAGCAATGATGGCCGTGGCCTTTGGTGCGCGTCTCATTGCCCTCTGTGCTGCCGTGCTCCCCCTTACTGCCTTTACCAGCAAGCAGAGCAGACGATGGGCGAACTGGCAGCCACCATGACGGTGCTGGGGAGGGAGGCAGCGACAGCAATGATGGCCGTGGCCTTTGGTGCGCGTCTCATTGCCCTCTGTGCTGCCGTGCTCCCCCTTACTGCCTTTACCAGCAAGCAGAGCAGACGATGGGCGAACTGGCAGCCACCATGACGGTGCTGGGGAGGGAATCCGCGACGGCGATGATGGCAGTGTTGCTCAGTGCATGCTTTCCTTTCCTTACTGCATCTCCCTGCCTGGTGAACAGCAAGCGGAGCAGAAGATGGGAGAGCTAGCAGCGACCATGAGAGTGCTGGGGAGGGAGGGAGGGAGGGAGGGAGGGAGGGAGGGAGGGAGGCTGCTGGGCTTACTTCTCCAGTGCTGGGGAGGCCGAGGCAGTCAGTGCTGATACTCCCATTTGTTTTCCGTGCTCCTCTCCTCACCAACCTTCCTCCGTTTACTTCCTTCAACAGCAAGTGGAGCAGAAGATGGGCGAATTTGCAGCCACCAGGACGGTGCTGAAGAGGGAGGGAGGGAGGGAAGCATCTGGGCTTACTTCTCCAGTGCTGCTCATCTGATTGCTGTGTGTGCTCCCGTTTCCCCCCTTGTTGAATCAACAGCAAGCGGAGCAGAAGATGGGCGAGCTTGCAGCGACCATGACAGTGCTGGGGAGGACGAGGCTGTGAGTGCCGATACTCATTGCTGTGTGTGCTCCCTTGCTCCCCTCCCTCCCTCCCTCCCCGATGCCGGGTTAACAAACAGCAAGCGGAGCAGAAGATGGGCGAGCTTGCAGCGACCATGACGGTGCTGGGGAGGGAAGCCGCGACGGCAATGATGGCTGTGGAGGCTCAGCAGCAGCGGCAGACGCTGCAGCGACTGATTGGGATGGTGAGTGCTGCAGTGTGTGTAATATGCACTGGAACATGCACCTACGGCACGGCAGTGATGGCAGTGAAGGCGCAGCAGCAGCGGCAGACACTGCAGCGACTGATAGGCATGGTGAGAGACTGAAAGGGGTGTTGCTGCACTGGTGCTGGACTGTGGGTGAGTCGGGGTTGGAACATGCACCTAGAGCAGAGCTATGATGGCAGTGGAGGCACAGCAGCAGCGGCAGACACTGCAGCGACTGATTGGCATGGTGAGAGACTGAAAGGGGTGTTGCTGCACTGGTGCTGGACTGTGGGTGAGTCGGGGTTGGAACATGCACCTAGAGCAGAGCGATGATGGCAGTGGAGGCGCAGCAGCAGCGGCAGACGCTGCAGCGACTGATTGGGATGGTGAGTGCTTTCACTTGGCTGTTACACTAAGCTGGGTAGCAGTGGTGCATTGGAGGCACAACAGGCTGGGGAGGGAGGCGGCAACGGCGGCGATGATGGCCGTGGAGGCACAGCAGCAGCGGCAAACGCTGCAGCGACTGATTGGGATGGTGAGAGACTGAAAGGGAGAACACTGGTGATGGCAGTGGGGCACTGGCGCTGGACTGTGGGTGAGTCGGGGTTGGAACATGCACCTAGAGCAGAGCAGTGATGGCAGTGGAGGGGCAGCAGCAGCGTCAGACGCTGCAGCGGCTGATAGGCATGGTGAGTGGGTTTCACTTGGCAGTTACACTAAGCTGGGTAGCAGTGGTGCAGTGGAGGCACAACAGGCTGGGCAGTGCTGCACAGTGCGTGGGTATGTGCTAGGCAGATGCTGCAGCGAGCTAGCAGCAACCATGACAGCGCTGGGGAGGGAGGCGGCGTCGGTAATGATGGCAGTGGAGGCACAGCAGCAGCGGCAGACGCTGCAGCGACTGATAGGCATGGTGAGAGAGAGGGTGCTGCACACTGTGTTGCGCTTAGTGACACCGGTGCTGCGCTGTTGCTGCAGCACTATGAGTCTATGAGTGAGTGCTTTTCAGTGCAGCACCGGCAGATGCTGCAGCGAATGATAGGCATGGTGAGAGAGAGGGTGCTGCACACTGTGTTTCTCTTAGTGACACCGGTGCTGCGCTGCTGTTGCTGCACTATGAGTGAGTGCTTTTCAGTGCAGCACCGGCAGACACTGCAGCGACTCAGTGGCATGGTGAGAGAGAGGGTGCGGCTCACCGTGTTTCTCTTAGTGACACCACCGGTGCTGCGCTGCTGTTGCTGCACTGTGAGTGAGTGCTTTTCAGTGCAGCACCGACAGATGCTGCAGCGACTGATTGGGATGGTGAGAGAGGGGGTGCTGCACACCGTGTTGCGCTTAACGACACTGGTGCTGCGCTGTTGCTGCACTAGGCAGTGAGTGAGTGCAGCGACTCAGTGGCATGGAGATTCGTTTGCACGCTTTCTATGCTCCACTGGTGCCGCACTGGCTTGTGCATGAGATGAGAGCACCTTTTGCATGAGAGCACCGTTTACAAGAGAACCACCCTTCTCACCTCAACCACCTCCCCTCCCTTTCCCCTTCCTCTCCCCCCAACCAGGTGGAGGCGGAGAGGGCTTTCCACCAGCGGTCGGTGGAAATCTTGAATCACCTGCACGCACAGATGGTGGGGGAGAGGCACACATGAGAGGACCTTGATACGAGAGAGTGTTGTGATCAGCTCGCCCCCACCTCCCCCCGCTACCCCTGTCTCCCCCAACCAGGTGGAGGCAGAAAGGGCGTTTCATCAGCGGTCAGTGGAGATTCTAAACCACCTGCACGCACAGATGGTGGGGGAGAGGCAGAAGAACGACCACAGTGGGAACAGCAGCGCTGCTGGTGGTGGTGCCACCCCTGCTGGTGCCACCCCTGCTGGTGTGGGCAGCACTAACCCGTTTGCAGGCTCAGCCGAGCCTCCGCCCCCGAGCTACGAGGAGGTTCGGGGAGGGGGAGGGCCGGCAGCAGGCGGGTCGAACCGAGCGGGGTACTTTCTTGCTGAGGTGGGTGGCGGGGTGGCGGGTGTGGGGGAGGTGATTGCTGTGGGAGGGTTGATGTGGGAGGTGCTGCTGGGGAATGTTTGGGAGGGGGAGGGCCGGCAGGAGGCGGGTCGAACCGAGCGGGATACTTTCTTGCTGAGGTGGGTGGGGGGGAGGGGGGTGTTGGGAAGATGGGTGTGGGAGGAGGTGCTGCTGGGGAAGGTGGGGGAAGGTGGGTTTGGGGGGGGAAGGTGGGGGAAGGTGGGTTGGGGGGGGAAGGTGGGGGAAGGTGGGTTGGGGGGAGGTGCTACTGGGGAAGGTTTGGGAGGGTCGAGTGGAGGCTGAGCTGGGTACTTCCTTGCTGAGGTGGGGACTAGATGGGCGTGGAGGAGGAGGTGGGTGTGGGGGTTAGGAGGAGGTGGGTGTGGGCTAGGAGGAGGTGGGTGTGGGGGAGGGTGGGTGTGTGGGTTAGGAGGAGGTGGGTTGGGGGGGAGTGGGTGCGAGGGAGGTGCAACTGGGGAAGGTGGTGTATGCATGCATGGCACTGGCAGGTGGAGTGTCGCGGGAAAAGAAGCCTTGGCATTGACAGCCACTGGACGCCTGTTCACAATGTCTGGTGCCACTTGCTCAGGTGCCACTCTCCTCGCTGCTCTCCCTGTTTACTTTTGAGTCGACTCAAAAGTCAGCAGCCTTGGCATTGACAGCCACTGGACGCCTGTTCACAATGTCTGGTGCCACTTGCTCAGGTGCCACTCTCCTCCCTGCTCTCCCTGTTTACTTTTGAGTCGACTCAAAAGTCAGAAGCCTTGGCATTGACAGCCACTGGACGCCTGTTCACAATGTCTGGTGCCACTTGCTCAGGTGCCACTCTCCTCCCTGCTCTCCCTGTTTACTTTTGAGTCGACTCAAAAGTCAGCAGCCTTGGCATTGACAGCCACTGGACGCCTGTTCACAATGTCTGGTGCCACTTGCTCAGGTGCCACTCTCCTCCCTGCTCTCCCTGTTTACTTTTGAGTCGACTCAAAAGTCAGAAGCCTTGGCATTGACAGCCACTGGACGCCTGTTCACAATGTCTGGTGCCACTTGCTCAGGTGCCGCTCTCCTCCCTGCTCTCCCTGTTTACTTTTGAGTCGACTCAAAAGTCAGCAGCCTTGGCATTGACAGCCACTGGACGCCTGTTCACAATGTCTGGTGCCACTTGCTCAGGTGCCACTTGTTCAGGTGCCACTCTCCTCCCTGCTCTCCCTGTTTGAATGGAAGGCGGGGGGAACGTATGGGGTCGTTGATTGACGACCACTTGATTGAAGACCATCAACTATCACTTCAATTTCTGGATTGATTCCTGACTTGAGGTAGACAGGCCCCTTCCTGCCCTGCCCTGCCATCTGTCAGGTGGGGCTTGCATTCCGAGTGGAGTGTCTGGGGAACGTCTGGGATGTGAATTTCCTTCTCAGGTGGTGCATTCATTTGAAGCAGAGCGTCCGGGGAAGATGTCTCTCAGTGTGTTGTGTTGTCTGCCCTGCCCTGCCTTGGCTCTGCCCTGCCCTGCCTTCCCCTGCATTCCCTGCCCCTCTATCATCAGGTGGTGCATGCATTCGACGCGAAGGGTCCGGGGGAGATGACTCTGAGTGTGTTGACACCCTGCCCTGTCTTGGCCCTGCCGTTCACTGCCCTGCCCTGCATACCTTTCTATCATCAGGTGCTGCATGCATTCGACGCGGAGGGTCCGGGGGAGATGACTCTGAGTGTGTTGACACCCTGCCCTGTCTTGGCCCTGCCGTTCACTGCCCTGCCCTGCATTCCCTACCTTTCTATCATCAGGTGGTGCATGCATTCGACGCGGAGGGTCCGGGGGAGATGACTCTGAGTGTGTTGACACCCTGCCCTGTCTTGGCCCTGCCGTTCACTGCCCTGCCCTGCATTCCCTACCTTTCTATCATCAGGTGGTGCATGCATTCGACGCGGAGGGTCCGGGGGAGATGACTCTGAGTGTGGGCGACTACGTGGTTGTCAGACAGGTGGGCGGTTGATATTTTTCAGGGCAGACTGGTGGGCGGTTTGATGTTTCGAGGCCAGTCAAGTGGATGATTGAATGTTTCCATTCTCTTGCCGCCTCAACCCCCCATACGCGATTCTCACATGTGCTTGTGACTTTGTCATTGCTCTCCTTCCTCTGTCATCCTCTTACATTTAAAGGGCGTGGCTCAAATTGTTCTTGTTTTAAAAAGTTGACGGGGAGGGAGTTCTGTTTGTCGTTTTGACGAGAGTTTCGATTTCGTCAAGTTCGTTTTTTTCGCCACCCCTTGCCCCACCCACCCTCCTTCCTGACAGGTGTCGCCCAACGGTTGGTCGGAGGGTGAGGCGAAAGGCAAGGCTGGGTGGTTCCCTTCAGCCTTTGTGGAACGCAGGCAGAGAGCCCCAGCAAGCAAGATCCTGGAAGCTTCTGGAGGCCTTTAGATCTGCGGGTGAAGCCGTTGAATAAATGTAACCGCAATTGTCAAACCCTGTTTCGTACGCAATGATACATCGTACTGAAGACAGCTTAATATGGTACTACGGTAGGTTTTGTGAAGGAGATAGTGTTATGACCTTGTTTATTAAGTTGGCCAACTTGTCCAGCGTGACAGCTTCTCTGCACTGCACTGTATGGCTTCAATTTTACCGTATCCGTCTATGAGGTGTATTCTGCACTCTTAGCAGGACAAAGGAACTCGAAGACCTGGAAACTCTAGCCTTCCTGCCACCCACCCTTACAGCCACAGCCTGGCAAGCCTTGCATCATACGGTACCACCGTACCATACGGTACCAACCAATTGAGAGATTACCTACCTAAAAGGTTCCCTGCAAAACTTCCTGACTAATCATGCATGGTAGGTAGCTGTCTGCAGGAAGGATGATGATCAACTTTCCAAGAAGTCAGCCAATACCGTATTTGACTACAGTTCACATTCAACCCCTGTAAACAGGCCCTAATCAGCCCTTTTTTCAGCACTGACTTACCAGCCTTCTTTCAGGGAACTGGGGTTTTTCTGCCTAGATATCAGCTACATAATTTACATGACTGATTTCTCAGCCTGATCCAATACCAATCCAGGAAACGGTCCATGAGCATTGACGCCAAGGCATTAAGGGCAGCGCTTGACCTAGCTGCCTCGGCTCAGTGGCACACCGCAGTGACTGTGTTTATGTAAAATTAAAAGGGTGTGCCAACTGATTTGGTTTGGATAGCTTCTGACAAAGCAGAAGCATCAAGAACCACCTAAAACCTTAGGACTCAAGAAGCACAGGCAAGACAGAGCCGTGACATGAGTAAGGTTAGCCATCCGACATCAGTTTGCAAGAAGACGGCGGCAATCGGAATAAGGTACACATTTCGTTCGGACGGCTAACGCGCGCATCACGGAAGGTGGAATGTCATGACGAGCCAAGTGCAGTAACTCGGGGTTCGATCAAGCGAACAGACAAACATTGCATCACGAACGTTGCTAGAACGTTGATCGAAAGGCATGGCTATGTCTGGGTCCGTCAACGGAGAAGAGGAACATATTAGTTAAAATATCGAAAAAAGAATAATGGTTTTCAATATACGGAGAGCTTCTCATTTATAATGAACATGGGAACAGCCATTTAAGCCTCCTCCTCCTCAACCCAGGCCTCAACACGGAGCAGCACGAAGCCCAGAGCAATACCGACGAAGATCATGCCTCCGATGATGGGGACCACTCGCAAGATCTCGGAGCCGACGTCGCACCTGGAGGAGAGAGCACCGCCGCGAGCACCAGTCTGCCTGGTAGCAGCAGCGATCTGAGCAAAGCTCTCGTCAACTGACTTCCTCTCAGCAACAGCCGACACGCAGGACGAAGCCTTCAGGCCCGAGAACTGGCCGAAGGAGACAATACGGGCCTGACGCTTAGGAGCAGCGACCTTGGCCACAGCAGCGGTGGGGGCAACAGCCAGTTGGCAGGAAGGAGCGATAGCAGCCATGGCTGATGGTGTGGTTGTGTCGGCAAATAGAGATGAAGCTAGTGAAGCTGGAGGAGGCTGTCTTTGGCTGGGAGTAAAAATTTCCAAGCAAAGAAACAAAAGCCTTCTGATCGGAAATGAGAGCAGCAGGGTAGTCAGGGAGAGAGGACCAACGGGAAACCCTAGGGAATATCTCGCAGTCGGGCTAGCGATGTTCGCGAAGCTGACGAATTCAAGCGACTGGAAGGGATGAATGAGAATGGTGGAGTATTGGCCTCTGAGGATAAGCTGTTACCTTGTCAAGTTCTTCGCGAGCGACGATTGTGGCAGAGCCAGCGAGAACAAGCGTTGATGTGTACGACTGGAGAGGTCTCTTCCACCAAAAAGTGATGTGCTGGCAGTTTCCGCCAATCGTCCTTATCTGAACGATCCCATCGGCAAGGGGTTATGCCACAGATGTATCCACGTGGCGCAGTACCCACCTGCCGTCATGGCAAGACTAGCCACACTGTGAACAAAGCCCGAATGATACAACCAGCGGGCAGAAACTACGGTACATTTCGGTCGATGAAAACATTCATAAAAACCAACTATTATAAAAATAGGACAAATCAAAAAAAAGAAAGGAGAAGAGGCAAAAAAAAACGTAGAGGGCCACTTTCATGATGATCGCATTCTTACGGTATGAACAATTTGTTGAACTACAAGTTCATATGAAGTGCCATACCGCCTTGATAGTTAATGGCTCGGGCTTCTTGTTTCTCTTCCTCTCACAAGAACGTGACTGAGTTTTTGCGTGTGTTTATGAGCGTGGGGGTGGGAAGGGTAGGCATATGCATGGGTCCATGTCTGTGGGTGCATGTGATGGGAAGCATGCTACAAGACCGTACAAGTACAGTAAAATTCTGCTGTGTCCTAAATGTTATGGCATCTCTCACTGCAGCAACAGCGCTTCCAAAACAATGTCAAATGAATAATGCATATCTAGGATCAGTAGTATGGCTCAAACGCAGGATCTGAGCAGATGGATTGGCCAAAGGAACCCACATGAGCAGTGGCAGCAGTAGGAACCTTCCAACGAGGAACTGAGAAGACCACCAGCAGCAGTAGAAGAATCGTAACTGTCGTGAGAGCAGCTGCAGCAGCAGCAGCAAAAGACATTGTAACTGCAGGGATAGAATCAAGAGACTGTAAACTGCCGCTAAAGAAGCATGAGAAAAGCGGCAGCAGCACCTTCAAAGCATCTTATCACTGCTCCTGCTTTCCTCCAACCCCTGTTAGCTTGCCTGGTGCAGCAACACTTTCAGATAAGCCCTCCTTTCTTAGCATGCGCTTGTTGAAGCTTGTATAGGTGACTAGCACTTGCTGCTGAACTCGTGTCTGCACATCCACCTAATCATTATCCACAGCCATTTCAAAACAGCTTCTGCTGCAGCAACTACTGCCTCTGCTGCAGCAACTACTGCCTCTGCTGCAGCAACTACTGCCTCTGCTGCAGTGTGAATGAGGATTGGTGTCTGGATTGGCAGACAAAAAGGCTCCGAACTTAGTGACAGGGTGAATGACGCTGGGATCTGGGCTGGTCATGAATGTGGCTGCTGGTAAACACCTGCTGCCGCCTGCCGCCGCGCTATGACCTGGACTGGCCCAAGACGGAAAGGGAAATGTGTGGCGGTGCTTGCCTTTGGCCCAATCCCCGTAACAGCTGCTGCTGCTACTGCTATGACTTGTACTGGCCCAAGGAGGAATTAAACACGTGCGACAGTGCTTGCCTGAAGCCCAATCTCTGCCACAGCTGCTGCTGCTGCAGCTGCTGCTATGACTGTTTTAGAGGCGTCTCAAAAACTGACTTGGTACTGCCCAAGGAAGAAACGTACATGTGTGACACTGCTCACCTCGGGTTCCCTGTGACAGCTACACCTGCTGCTGCTGCTGCCGCTCTGCTGCTGCTGCTGCTGCCGCTCTGCTGCTGATGCTGCTGCCGCTCTGCCGCTGCTGCTGCTGCCGCTCTGCCGCTGCTGCTGCTGCCGCCGCTGCTGCTGCTGCTATGACTTGTACTGCCCGAAGGAAAAGGAACATGTGTGACAGTGGTAGCTTTAGGCCCAATCTCTGTCAAAATCGCTGCAGCTGCTGCTATCACTTCGCATGCCCCAAGGAAGAAAGGGACATGTGCGAAAATGCTCGCCTTAGGCTCATTTTCCGCGAAGGGAGGGCTGGAGGTTGGGGTTGGGTGAGAGGCGAGGGGAGGGCAGAGCGGGAGGAAAGGAAGAGGAGGGAGAACAACGAATTGAGTGTTTACAGGAAACAGGAAAGTCCCAGAGAGGGGGGAAAAGGTATCTGTGACTGACAAGGTTCGCCTTGGGAACCTAACCTGCAGTAGAGGTGTGTGGTGAGGGTTGGGGTTGGCGAAGGGAAGAGGGAAAGGCGAGCAGAGGAGAGGCGAGCAGAGGAGAGGCGAGCAGAGGAAGGCGAGCAGTTAGACTGGGAAAATGAAAACATCTGTAACTGACGGTTCTCGGATTGGGCTCTCAAGTTGCAAGGGGGGGGGGGGGTGCCCAATGGTTGGGGTGGGGAGAAGATGCTGTGGGAACTCTGAAAAGGGTGTAGGGCGTTAACGGGATGCTAGCTAGAACGTTGATAAGGGCTGGAGGCGTTGGGCTGGACGATAGAGGGGAGAGGAGGGTAAAGGATACGAAGAGGTGGGAGGTAGGTAAGTGATTAGGACATCAGCAATGGGAGAGGAGGGCAGGGCATGGAAGAGAAGGGGAGGGTGGGGAAGGGAAGAAAAGGTGAGAGGAGAGGGGATAGGAAGGGAGGAGAAAGGAGGGATTGTGCATATTTGGATGGCTTGGGTTGTGACGTACCACTCTGACTTATCAACTGAGATGCGGAAAATGCTGCTGGGCCACAAATCTTTTCAAAAACGCTGCCGCCCCTTTGCTTGCTGCCTCGCTGCACTGTAGACCCAGTCTCAGGAGAAATCACGTCTTGTGCAGGAAAATGGAGCGGCTTCAAACGCGAACAGCACTCCCCGCTTTCCAATGTTCCACCCTCGTCCCGTTCCCCTCCGCTGCGATTCCCCCCTGGTTCAACGTTCCCCGCACTTGTCTCCCGCTGCGCGCTTTCCGCCAACCGTACAGTCTCGTGGAGACACCCATCCGCAAGGCTTTCCGCGGAGCTGTTTCCACCCGCGCAGCTGCTGCTTCCGCCCGCGATTCGTTCCGTGCAACTCCTGCCTTTTTCTGCTTCTCTTTCAGGCTGCGATGCGGTTCGTCGCAAGCATCGAACCGCGAGTGACGACGCGAGTCGAGACTTTTCGACGTTCGCTGGTGTGACACGTGGCGATCCCGACGTCGTTGATTGAACGTGACAAGATCTTGACCGCATGGTTCGTTCTCGCTGCAACCGCTGCTCACGCTGCACACACTGCTGCTGCTGCTGCTGCTGCTGCTGCTCCCGCTGCTGCTGCCTAAAAAAATCTCCCTCCTTCCAT